ACCCCACCCTGACCTGCAGCTGGAACGGGTACAGGCAGTGGCAGCCCTTGCAGCTAGCCTGACCCGGTGTCAGTGGGCACCTGTCCAGGGGAAGGACAGGGACCTCCAGAGGTGGCCATTCTGGGCAGTGGCCTGGCCTGCTACAGGTGGGCATGGAGGGAACTTAAGCTTTCAGGGACAACCAGGGGAGGTGAGATAATTGTCTTTCCACTTCTAAGGCAAGAGCTGGGTGGAATCTAAGTTTTCACTGAACTCGTAAATACACAGCAGAGCCCCCAGGGCATGGAGGGCCCTGATCTCCATGGAACTCTGACCTTTGCTGACTGCAGAAGCTGCCCAGAGCCAGGGCCTGCAGGGGACAGCCTCAGCCCCAGGCTGCACCTCGCAGCATCTTCCCTGGGCTCCAGGAGCCTCAGCAGCTGGGCGCATACCATACATGGCAGGAAGGGCAGGGGCTGGGGTGCTGACTGCAGGTGGCACGGCCAGGTGGAAATGGCAGGTCTGTCAGATGGACACCTGAGGTGACCCTGAGCTATGGGCCACTGGGGGTGGCAGCATTTCCAAAGGGGCTTCGCTGCCCACAGGTTCACCCACCCAGCTTTCCAGAAATTGCTGAGCCCACCGCCGATGTCTCTGAGCCTCACGCTGCCACCTGTGCAGCCTGCCGCCACCTCCTCGGGAAAGGGACAGAGTGCTGGGGTGGGGGCTGAGAGCTTCTCCAAAAGGCAGGGTGGGGCTGCCACGGCCAGGCCAAGGGACTTGGGGTCACCTGTCCATGCGCCTCAGGGTTTCGGGAAGGGTCTGAGAAGACACCGAGATGATGTCCCATAGCTGACTCCTAGCAGCGGGGGCCCCGCGCAGCCCAGGCTTAGCTCACCCAGGACCCATCCCAGCTTAGGCTCCATTCCGGGGGAGGCCCGGATGCTCCCCGTGTCTCCTCTCCCACATGGGCGGGTGCAGTTGGGGTGCAGTGGGCTGGTGGAGGGAGGCCCAGCACGGGGCACGCACACCAGACACTGGAGCTACCGCTTTCCCTAGCAGGCTGGATCCCAGCACCCTCATCTGCCTCTTGTTGCTGAGTGGTTCCCCGTGTCTTCTCCCTCGACCCCTGGCCAAGCAGAGGGACCCCAAGAGGTCAGCACCTCCTCAGCTTTGGCCCCAGACCCTGGGCAGCGGGAGCCCTGGACAGCCTGAGTGGGAAGTTGCTTTCCTCTCCCAGAGAAATCAGGGCTCAGGCGCCCCTGTTCTTTGCTGCCCCTGACCTGGCCCTGACCTGCCCGCTGGCTCCACGCTGTGTGGCGGGAGCAGCACAGCACCCCACCCCGGTGCGGGACCAGTGCACGGACTGAGAGCTCCAGAGAGCTCCAGAGGCGCAGCCATCTCCGTCTGGAAATCAGTCTTAGGAAACGGGCGATTCTGCCTGGCACACAGCTTGATTCTCCCACAGCCCAGGGAGCCGTGGTGGAATCCTGCCCTCCAGGCCCTGCCTCGGTCCCCTGCAGGAGCCCCAGGGGTGAGAGGCAGGCCGCCCCTGGGATTCCGCCTCTGGGGCCAGAGCTGTGAGCCCAGGGCCACCGGGCCTCCCTGACCTGCAGGAGCACCTTGGTCTGTCTCCCTCAGAGCTGTCACAATGCGAGAAATTGCGGCAATTTCTCCCTAAGAGCTCTCGTTTCCCCTAATAATCCACGTCTCATCTCCACAATGAGCATGGTTAGAAGCCTTCCCTCAGCTTTAAACACACATAATTGCTCCTGGTGCCAGTAAAAGGTATTAATTCCACTTATGCATTCCATAAACTTTTAGGATAACGCAACTGATACCACAGTCATGTTAGGACACCTCCACCATTCTCTGCCTGCAAACCTCCGAGGGGCTGGAAAGTTTTCTGTGAATCCATTAGCGTTGACTCAGCCTCATCCTCCCCAGGAATCCCTTGTCCGCCTTTGTCCTGCCCGCTGCCTTGCCCGGAAGGGGGGCTCTCATGTCACAAGGAGCTGCCCCTTCTTCACGCCAAATCCGAGAGCAGGCGTGGGGGGCCTTCTGGGCTGTGCCCAGGCCCCCGTCCATCCTGAGCCAGCTGTGCCCGAGTAAGTTCCCAAAGCTGCCTCCTGGGCTGTCGGCCGGGCCTCCAGCCTGCTCCGGTCCACCAATGCCATGGGGAGCCGAGGCTTCCGACGACACAGGCAAGGAGGCCTGCTCATAGAGCCGCTTGCCAAGCTGGGTGGGAAGGGGCTGAGCCAGGGCTGGGTGGTCTCCAGATGGCCAGGGCATGGGGCTGTCCTGATGGGGAGAGGAAACCACCCTGCTTCTCAGCCCCGAGGAGGGACCAGCTATCCCAACACTGCCAGCTGTGGAACGGTCCTGCGATGGAGTGGACATCAGGGCCCAGAGGCCAGGCAAGAGCACAGCCCAAGTCCTGACACCCACAGTACCTGAGGAACTGGGCACAGACACCCATGATGTCTTTCTTGATGGCTCAAACCCCGTGGTCCATCCACCTGACAGAGGCGCCCATGGGGCACCAGGTCCCATGTGGGTTAGGGACAAGAAGGACTCACACACATCGAGCACTGTGAGTGTCGGCTACCCAGGCTCTGGGCGCCCTGCTGTGTGTCCCCTCCACAGCTGGGGACTCCGAGGAGCAGAGGGAGCACAGCAGCATGCCTGGCTCCACCCTACTCTGCTCACAAGTCCCTTCCTGTCCCTGGACACCTCGGGCTCCCAGGTGGCCAGAGTCCTGGGCAGCCACGGGAGCTCTCACGGCACAGTGCCGTGGGTTGGCTTCCATACCCAGGTATCCATGCCCAGAGGGCCATGTCTGAGTGCACACCATGTATGCATGTGGGTGTGGACACACGCAAACACACATACACACGTGTCCACACAGACCCGTGGACCAGGGAGGCCTACCAGGGACTTCCACAGCGGCAAGCCTGGAGTGGGCTCTGCAAAGCAGATGACGGAGAACCCCTCACACCCAACCACAGTGGGGCAGTGAGGTGTTTGTGCTGCTCTGGAAGGAGACAGGGCAGCAGTCCATTGGAACTGTGCTTGAGAAAAACAGGGCTCGTCCATCAGTTACCTGCCAGCGGTGTGGCAAGGGCCAAGCTCGGCCTAAGTGGCACTGGGTCCTGGGCAGCAAGTCTGGGCAGCAGCCACACAGTGAGACCCCAGAGCTGAGAGCGGCGGCCACCCGCCTGCTTCCCGGGGAGGGAAATAGGGAGGGAGCTGTGGGGGTCTGCTCCTGAGAGCCAGGCGCGGAAACTCTCATTATCAATGTTGGTCCCACCTCCACCCCTGTGGGGAGCAGGGAGGGGACCCCAGCAGGCCGCAGCATCCTCCAGCCCAGCCTTCACTGCTGCCGCCCTGTGACCCATGGGCCGCCGAGACCAGACAGGGGGAGCAAAGCATGTCCTGATGCCACTCGCTGGGGGATGTGGGGTCCCAGGCAGGGAGGGAGAAGTCAGCAGACAGCTCCTGACCCCAGGACCAGCTCAGACCACTGTGGGGCCCAGAACCCCCAGCATCCTCCCACAGCTGCCCGCAGGACCCCAGGGACCCTGAGGACAGAATGTCACCTGCCTTCTCCCTCCGAGGACTGAGGAGGGAGGGTTTAGGAACAAGAAAGGTGTGCAGACCAGGCATATGCTGCCTCTGGCCCTCCCCGACCCAGACCTCCACACTGGGTGCTGGGTGTTAGGTGTGGGGACAGCCTGGTCCCTCCCTTCCTCTGCTCCTAGAGGACAGCCTCGTGGCTGGGGACCAGGCTCAATGGCACCCACACATACACAAACGTTGTCACAGCATCGGGGATCATGCACCCAGGATGTCCCTCAGCTCTGTGACCGGCAAGCCTGACCTCGAACCTGGGCTGCCTTAGGCTCCGCCCTGCCCCACCCCCATCTGGAGGCATGGGAAACCACAGCTACCACCAGGAGCATGGCAGGAACCATCACCACGGGACCTGGACCCGCTATGTGGGAAGAACCAGGGTGGGGGACCTGTGCTCAGCTCCCTGAGGGGCAGGAGCAGCCACCCTGCTGGAAGGACAGAAGGACAGGCTTCTCTACTTTGGGGTGCGACTTCCCAGCAGGGCTGGGGCTGCCAGTGCTGTTCCCCAGAGGAGGCAGAGCCATGGGGAGGGCCATGGGGAGGCACCAAGGTCGCCCTTGCAGCCCAGAGATGGAACAAGGCTGCGGGGCTCACTGTCTTTCCTGCCCAGTGTTGTGTGACCTGCACTCCCAGGCAAAGTCCCCAAACCTTAGTCCACACCTCTAGGTGCCGCCCCCACTGCCAAAAGTTGGGGCCTCTGACTCAGCCATTAGGACCACCAGACTCCTAGTCCTCGTGCCCACTACCTCCCTGCAAGGCCCAACAAGCTACTCCCACCCTGTGCCTCAGCTTCCTCAGCTATAAGATGGGGCCACCTTGTGGGTGGCTGGGCGGGTCCAGGGGTTTACTAAACCCAACACGGTCAGCACAGGGCCGGCTCCTGGAGTCTGCACACAGAATGTCACCAAAGTTGGCAGAGTCCCTACCGCAGGTGGAACTGTCCCCAAAGGTGCATGGGAGGATCAGGGTCCTCAGCACCGCAGTGCCACCCCTGACATCCCTGTGCCAAGCCAGCTCAGAGACATAGCGACGAGACTGTAAGGCAGAGCCCAGATCTGGGAGCAGAGCAGGAGCAGACGGCTCCAGGAGCCTCTGCCTCGGAGCCCAGCGCTAAACAAAGCAGTAGCCAACCAGAGCCCCTGCTGGGCACAGAGATGCTGCCCATGCCACTCTGAGGGACATCTTCCCTTGCGTGGGGGACCTCCATCCCTCTGGGACCCATGGGCTGCTGTCTGACCCTGGTCAGCTCCCAAGGGGTGGACCACCTGGCCAGAGCCCGCCTCCTGCCCCACACCCACCAGGGTGCTGGACGGATGGGGCCGCCCCTCCCCAGCCCGCGCCCACCACCTGCCCGTCACACACTGCCACAGCACACAGGGCTCACTCACCGTCCAGGTGGCGGACTTGGCCGTGCTCGACTGCTGGAAGGTAACTTCGAAGTGGTGGGGGCCAGGGTAGTCGGTGTTGGAGGGGATGACGGGCGCGGGCGACATGGTGTCAAAGGTGGAGCTGGGCTGGGCGTAGGGCGAGTGGGTGGGCACGCTGGCGGCGTGCTCCGGGGTGTAGGGGCTGGCAGGGGCCGCACGGCTGCTCATAGGGTCCATGGTGCTGCTGAGCAAATTGAACTGGGCCTGGTGGGCGGGGAGGAGGGGGACACCGTCGGGCTGGGCTGGGGGATGCCCAGCCCCAGCCCCAGCCCCAGCTCCAGCCCCAGCTCCACTGCTGCTCCTGCGGGCTCTCTGGTCTGTCCCGTCAGAGGTGTCTGGTTACAGGAGCCTTAAAGGGCCAGCGCTCCAAGTCATCCCAAATATTTCCTCGGGCCCCCACCCCACCCCAACAGGCCACTACTTGTGTCGGGATAAACTGACATATTCACCTCGCCCGCCCCTCTCCAGCCGCCTCCCTGTGCCAGCGCCTCTGGGATCCACCCAGCCGCCCTCGAGGAGGAAAGGGGCCCAGAGCACCTGGAGGCACTGTCTGTCCGGCAGTCTCCCCCTGCCCCCCCCCTCCCGCCCAGGCCCTGGGCTCAGTAGCACCTGAGGGCCCCTGTCCCTGAGTCACAGCTCAGAGGAGGGAGCCCGGTGCCCGGTGCCTGGGAGCCAGACTGGGCTGTGGCCCTGGGGGCTGGCTGTGGCCCTAGGTTGTGCTCTAGGTGCTGGGACAGAGGCAGATTTTCCCATCCCTAGAGGCCCTGGTGGCTGCTGTCAGAGGGTCTGTAAGCTCCCAGCCCCATCTCCAGCCACACACCAGGGCCGGCTCCTTCCATTATGAGGACAGCCCAGCCCTGCCAGGACCACACCTCCAACGAGCCTAGGCAGCGCAAGCTCTGAGCCCCCTATAGGGGTCCCAGGACCCCAGGCTGGGTGAGCCCCTGCAAGGGGCACCTGTCCCATACTTCTGTCCTGTGTTGGATACAGGGCAATCCAGAAGATACCAGCTATGGACCCCCAACTTCGGGGGGAGGCAGGTGTGGAAGACCACACTGGGAGGCCAAGCAGATCTCTAACCACACCCACACTCTGCGCTCTCCTCGGAGCTGGGGACAGTCACACAGACTCAGTCTGCCCGTGACCGAATGAGCGGTCTGCCCGTGACCGAATGAGCGGCATGGCCCTTGTCCCCCTTCACAGCCGAGGAAACAGAGGCCTGGGCCTGGGAGGGGACACAATGACATAGTGGGGTCCCCACCACATCCAGCCTCCGAGAGAGTCCCAGGACCTCACCAGTGCCCACAGCTTGCCCTTCCCGGACTGAGAGCAGAACCACTCCTAGGCACCATGGATCCCTAATACTCTCCCTCTATGTGGGGACAGCCTGGGGCCCAGCTCCTCCTTGGTCCTCCTTGGTCCTCCTCCATCCAGGCAGAGCCCCAGAGCTCGGGCTGTACAGGGCAGGCATGTCCACTGCCGAGTCCACGCAGGGTCCCTGCTGACCACTTGCGGGTCCAGAGTCCAGGATGTGTGGCCTGGCTGTGCACCCACAAAGCCCCACTCCGCCAGGGACCCCCAACAGGGCAGGGAGGGGACAGGGACAGGGTCAGGCAGACAGCACTGACAGCACTTCTCACAGCACTGCTCTCTCTGCACCATGGTGTCCTGTGGCCAGGCAGGGCTTTCCGGTATGCTCCAGCCTGGGACGGCAACTTTGAGTAAATGTCCAGCCAGTGGGGCTAAGCCACGTGTCCAACTCATGGAAGGTGTCCGGGGATGGCCACAATGGGACTCGCCAGGCAGCCCTGGCTCGGTGTGAACCCTGGCAAAGCTGCCACCAAATTGGACCACATCCTGAGGACCCATCCACCCTAGGATGGGGAACCTGCAGTCCTGAATCCTGAGGCCTCCCTCTCCCGTGCTGCAGGAACCCAGCTTTCACCCACGCTAGAGTCACCAGCCACGGAAGGACAGCAAGGGGCCCTGAAACAGCACTGCCACCCAGGTGGCACCTGTGAGACACCCAGGCTCCATCAGCTATGGCACAGGCGAGTGTCCCAGACCATTCTGTCCACTAAGTCGCTGGACCCTGTGCATTCAGGGGTGACCTGCACGTTGTGTGGCCTCTGACACTGGTCAGAGACTCGGGGAGGGACCTGGAGCTCCCCTCTCGCTCCTGGGCTGAGAGGTCACGTCATGCCAGCTGCCTCTCTCTGCTGGGAGACCCCAGTCCAGCCCCATAAGACCAGCCCCCACAGGAAGGAACAGTCCGACCGGACTGGGCAACACAGGACACAAGGATCCCAACACCTCTGCCCTGCTCCAGTCACTGCTGTGAGACCCGGGAGCTGGCTCCATCCCCTGCCCTGTCTACCTTAGGGCCCCCTAGGGCTCTGCTGTGGGACCCCCATGGACTGTGAGTCCACGACGCCCACACCACCCTGGACCCCCCCCCCCGACAGAGTGGGCAGGGAAAGGCGGTGTGTGGTACACCCTGATCCCAGGGAGACGGTCACGAAGCACCCGGGCTGGCAATAAGCAAATTAATTCCTGTCCACTGATTCTTTCTGGTGTTGGTGACCAGTCAACAGTGACGGCTAACACACGCAGCCCACACTCTACAGGGATCCTCCCAAGGGGAGTGGGCCCGGGACTCTGGAGACAGCAACGCCCACAGGTGCAGGTCCCCGTGTGCCTTGAAGGATCAGCTGGGAACCTGCAGGCACCCTCCAGGGTGCCCCGAGCCAGCTTGGCAAGGAGAAAGCCAGACCCAGTGCAGGCCGTCCTGACGCCGATTGCCTGCAGATACAAGATAGGGTCCCACGCGATGCCCTGGCATTTTGCATATTTTGAGCTAGGTGGGTAAAATCCGAGGGTGTGAGGGTCACCGACCGGCCGACCCTGGCTCTCTGGAAGGGCAAGGGCCTGCACCAGTCGGCATTCAGGTAGCGTGGGTGGAACCCGCCAACTCACAGAATGAACCACACACGCTGGGGGTTGCAGGTCTCACCCCTCCTGATTTTGCCAGCACCCCGCCCCTGCCCCGTAAGGATGGCCTGGCCCGGGGAGGCTGGTCCATCTGGGTGCCCTCCATGCTGCATCCCAACCATGGGGTGCCCCAGGCCAGCCCCAGGCTGGCAGGGTGGGAGCTTAGGCTTCCCTGGTTCCAGAGAAGCCGGGTGCAGACCACGACAAGGAGGTTCATATTTTAACTTGTCCACATTCTTTGATGATCCGAGGACAGTGCCAACGCATGAGTCACCTGCACCAGAGGGAGGGACTGGACGGGATCTGGGGGGCGGGCTGCAGGGGGGCAGCACAGGAGCCCACTTCAGGCATTCTCAGGTGGGAGCAGTACCCCTGAGTGCCAGCACCCCCAGGCCTGGGGTCACCCTCGCCCTCCACAGCCCGTTCACGCCATTTCCCACCCTGGGGCATAGGCGGGCAAGGCTGAGCTGTCCCACGTCTAAGGATGCTGTCCCTGGGCTCTGCATCCTGCGTTCCTGGGGGCCCCCACCCCTCCACCTCTACCCACAGCGCTCTGGAGGCCCCAGGTGACTGTTTGCATCCTCTGCCTCCAGGTTTAGGACTCAGTCCTGGGAAATTCCCCATGTCCTCCACCCGATGTGGAGCTCTCCCTGGCATCGCTCCCTCCTCGCTTCCTGTGCATCGGCTGAAGCAGGATGGTCTCCTGGAGATTCCCCCACCCAGCTTATGTGGAACCTGGGGTTCCCCGGAGTTGAGGCCCCGAAAGCTCCGGCGAGACCCTCTTGGCAGCAGGGAGGAGCCCCAGTGAGACCAGGACGTTTTTTGGTTTGTTTGCTCCATAAGAACTCCCGGCAGCGGGCCGATCGGGGCATGCCCAGCCTGCGGCAGCCCACGAGTGCCTACACGCAATACAGGGCCCGGGCGCAACCTGGGGCACAAGGAGCCAAGGAGCCTGCGATGCCTGGGGTGGGGGACACTGCAGCCCCACCATGCCCCCCTAAGTCCACTCACAGAACACAGACAGGGTCAAACCTGCCCCTGGGACCCACGCACACAGCAGCACAAGGAGGCCTGCCAAGCAGTGCTCGACTTCCCGCAGACCTTGTCTGGGGGCTGTCCCTGGTCCCTAAAATTGTGGGGGCTGCTCCCCTTCCTGTCCCCTGCAGTGGCCTCATGCACTGGATGACAGCAAGTTGGTGATCTTACCCCATGAAGGATAGTCAGGGAGCAGGGCCACATGGGAACGGGCACAGTCCCAGCTCCTCGGCACCTCTGGGGCTCATCAAGGGTGCGGGACTCCTGCCCCTGGCCTTGCCCTCCTGGGGCCAGAGGGGCAGATTGAGGGCAGAGCTCCATGCAGCTGCAGTCCCCGCCCACCTGGCTGGACCCCTAGCCCAGGCCCCAACACCTCTGAAGGCCCCCCTAGGGACGGTGGCAGCTAGGACAAGGGGGGCAGCACATGGCCCACTCTGCCCCTCAGACAAGGACCCTCTGCTGCCAAGTCCAGGGTGGGCACTGTGAGCCAGGCTGTGTCCTAGTGGAGGCACAGCAAGACCTCTCGGAGGCCTGGGCCTCGGGAACCCACACCTTGGGAGTGGGGCCGGTGAGGGCTTGGGGTCACCAGCGTCCATGGCTTTGCTCCAGCATGAGCAACCCTCACCCAGCACCAGGAAGCCAGCATACAGGGTGCCCTTCTGGACACAGCACCCCACGGCGCTGATCCAAAAGGGAGAGGGGTAGAAGCTGGGGCCCAAAGACAGTCGCCACACATGGCCACAGGCAGCATAGAGGGGCCAGTGCCCTCAAGAACAGACCCTGCAGGGGTCGGTCTCTCCTGTCCTCCTCGTGTCTGGGCATGGCTGTTGCCTGGCACAGAACCAAGGCCTTGGAAACTCTTGGTCAAACGATGTAAACGCTGAAACTTCCAAGACCAGAAATGCATGCGAGAGTCCCAGCAATTCTGCTCCTGGGAAGTTGGATGTGTGAATATTAATTTTCATATTCTGTGGAACTGGGCATCAGACCTAGGGAGCCCTGCCTGACACCCCCAGTGCTCGCATCCCTCTGTCTACACTTGGCAACAGGGTCTTGATCAGTTGCCCAGGCTGCCCTTGAACTTACGACCTTTCTGCCTCAGCCTCTCACGGAGTGAGTATTACAGGTGCGCTCTCTGTGCCTGGCTTGTGGTTTTGTGTTAAAGATCCCTACTATGC